ATCTGGTAGCTATACGAGCTGATGAGGATGCTCTTCGGGCTGACATGGTCAATCTTCTTGTCGGCCGCCATCTCCAGCCACAAAGGGCGTCTGGTCGACATTTATGATCCAGCGTTCATCATTGTCGTGCTCCCACCAGACGTGCCTTACGTAAGTCCAAAATCTTTTCACAACCTCCATTTGTATATATGGAGGAGGCACTAGGCCTCTTGAATGGTTTTAATATGGGAATCACTAAGTAACATCCACAAGTTGTATCAATATGTCTGCAAAAACTACATCGTTATGTAGCTTGTACTTGCCGTCATTTTCTCTCCTCTTTTTTTTTTTTCTTTTTTTTTTTTATAATATATTCGCGCACATCCGCCCAGTCTACCAGTGGTTCGCCTTCCATACCACATATGGTTCGCTTTTCATTATCTCCACGCTAAACTTCTGACGATGCTTCACAAAGACCAGAAGACATGTTTTCCACCAGTTAAGCACCTTGTTATACACTTCCTCTTCCATGTCATGATAGTAGGTCCAGCAGCCAACGCCATGAAGCCTCCTTCATGCCAAATGCGTGGATTGCAGCTCAGCCTCAGCCTTCATCCACTCTTGCAGGAGCTTACGGCAGAAATTGCCCTCCACCTTGCGGTGCTCATGCCAGACTTAGAGCTTCACGACCTAATGAAGCTTCTCCGCCGCTGTGTACGAGTGCAGCGCAGACTTTGTACGACAATGCCTATGGAAAGGGGGGTTCACATCCTTCTTGTTGTTTAGACGTCTTCCCCTTGGGAAGGTTGGAACGGGGAGCTTTTCAGGAAAGTCCACACGGTGCCAATACTCGACATCCACTTCAGGCGCAGCGTTGGAAGCTCCTTATGCGTTAGAATATGGCCAATCGTCATCAACATCTACCCAATTGGAATCAGCCCATGACGGTTTTCGTTTCAGAAGAACCACAAACCATTGTACAATACACCATGCATATTTGCATCTCACAAGATACCACTATTCTACTCCTGCTGTAACAGCTAAAAGAACCCCCCACCTCCATGCTCTGAATGAGACGCTCCCCCTCTCCCCACCCCACTCCTTAACTGCCCATCATCACCACCACTAGAAGACCCATCTTCCACCAGGTAAGCACCTTGTTATACACTTCCTCTTCCATGTCATGATAGCAGGTCCTCCTGCCAATGCCATGAAGCCTCCTTCGTGCCAAATGCGTGAATTTCAGCTCAGCCTAAGCCTTCACCCACTCCTGAAGGAGCTTAGGGCAAAAATTGCCCACCCATCCCACCACCCATTCCAGGTGCATTGTCATCAGCCAAACCAAACCGTGCTCCACCCATTCCCACTCCACCCTCTTCCCCTCCCTGTAACCCCCCCATCGTTGCACCGAATGTGCCTGAACCAGTACAGTTCCAGCCCCGGCTGGCAGCTGGCTCCTTTTGTCTGCGCTGCATGTCCAGGAATTTTCCGTTGCTTTTGGCTCCTTGTGCCTTTGTTGCGGGAATGGTGACCGATTGGCGGGATCGCTCCCCCATTGGCGTGGCCAAAGTGCATGGCATATGGTGCCTGGGCGGAGGCAGCAGGTGCAGCAGCGGCTGAAGCAGTGGCTAAAGCAGTATTAACACGGAATATGTTTATCATTGCTGCTTCTGCTGCACCTGCCGCTCTCGATAGTAGGAGATGCTGGCCCTCATGGGCCACCGGACCAACTGCCCGATTTTACTGCTGCACCGGAAGGTAAACCACCTAGGGAAATAAACACTTGCAAGAGTGCTGCTGAAGCAGCGGCTGAAGCTTAAAGCAGTTGCATTTGGTGAAGCGGGGGCAACAGGGGAGGTGAATCGTTGAAAGAAGCACTGAGAGTTCAGCATCAGCGAAGGGAAAGGTTGGACCTACTTAGGGAAGTGATGGACCAGCAACAGTAGCAATGAAGGTGTGGGGATGAGTGGGGTGGAATGTGAAGGGCGGGAGGACACTGGTAGGGGTTGGGTGAGAAGGGGTGGGAGAAAGAGGAATTCAAGAGTGGTGGGTGCACTGAGTGGTGGGAGTGAAGGATATGGGAGTGAGTGATTTAGAGGAGTGCGGGATATGGGAGTGAGGGATTAGGACTGAGGGATTTGGGAGTGATGGATATGGGAAAGAGGGATATGGGAGAGTGATATCAGAGTGAAGGATATGGGAGTGTGTGATATGGAGCATGACTCGGGAGTGAAGGATTTGGGAGTGAGGGATTCAGGAGTAATGGATTTGGAAGTAATGGATTTGGGAGTGAGTGGTTTGGGTGTGAAGGGTTTTGGGTGTGAGTTATGGGAGTGAGGGATAGGGGAGTGAATGATTTAGGAGTGAAAGAATTGGGGTGAGGATTATGGGAGTGAGGAATATTAGAGTAGTTTGGGAGTGAGGGATTTGGTTGTGAGAGATTCGGGAGTGAGGGTTTAAAACCCGAAGCCTGAATTACAAAAACTGAGTCAACGCTTGGTTCGGTAAGTCTGGGGTTCGGGCAATATGAGGTGCGGACGAATTGCGACAGCAAAAATGGTTAGCGAAACAAGATGCGACGCTCCCGTGAGTCAACGAGGGGATATCAGACATCGCAACCCAACAGTTCGCCCCCAATCTGCTAACAGCCCCAGAGAGCTGGAAAACTTGTGCGACAGAACAAGCTAACTACTCAGACACTAGCTTTTTAGGATCCAAGCATCGCGCACAACAGCCAGGCATATCAAGTGAACACAAATTAGTGACGATCGAATAGAAGGTGCACAGCGGATATGCAATCGAAGGGAATCGAAGGCGCTGACTGCGAGTGTGACGCACGTAGAATATGGTCGGCACGGGAGATATTAGCGCTTGCCCACCTCGCTTCCCCAGCCCGTCGCCTTTACTCTTCCCGCCCACCGCCTTCGCTGCGCCCGTCGCCTCGCCTCCTCCCCGCCCATCGCCTTTGCTTCCTCCGCCCGCCCTCGCTTCTCCCCTCCCGTCACCCTTGCTTCCCATGCCCGTCGCCCTCGCTTCCCGCGCCCGTCACGTACCGCCTCTTCCCTGCCTACCACCCTCGCCTTGCGGGTCGCCATCGCCGCCTCCCCGTCCGTCGCCCTCGGTTTCCCCCTCCCGTCGATCTCGCTTTCCCCCTCCCGTCGACCTCGCTTTCCCCCTCTCTTCGCCCTCGCTTTCCCCCTCTCGTCGCCCTCGCTTTCCCCCTCCCGTCGACCTCGCTTTCCCCCTCCCGTCGACCTCGCTTTCCCCCTCCCGTCGACCTCGCTTTCCCCCTCCCGTCGACCTCGCTTCCCGTCGACGTCGCTCTCGTTCCCACCGCCCACTCTTTGTCGAGCTTCCCCTCTTCTTCGCCCTCTCTTCCTTCCCCCGTCGCCCATGCCCATTCCCCTCCCTCGCGCCGTCGCCCTCGTTCCCCCCCCCCCCCCCCCCCCCCCCCCCCCCCCCCCCGGCGCCTTCGCTACCCTTCCTAATGCCCGTGTTTACCCCCTCCATTTCCCCACCCTCACTCTCACCCTCGTCCTCTTATGCGAAAAAAACTACTCGCATTTCACTCTTCCTTCCTTCCTCCCATCCTACCAGCCTCCGAGCCTAATTATCTCCCTTTTTACCCTCCTATTCCTCCCCTTCACCTTCCCATTCCTTCAAATCACCTTCTCACCCCTATTGTCCCTTCAATCGCTGCTGCTTCTTTTTTGCGGATGCCTCCTTCCCCTATCTCATTCTTTCCTCCCTCCCTCACTCTGTAACCCCCTGCTCACTCTCTTCCCCCCTCCTTAATCTGTTCCCCCCTCCTCAATCTGCTCCCCCCTTGCTCACTCTCTTCGCCCTTGCTCACTATGTTTCCCCCTGCTCACTCCCTTTCCCCCCCCCCCTCACTCTGTTTCCTCCTTGCTCTCTCTCCCCTCTCCTCCTCACTCTCTTCCCCCTTCCTCACTCTATTCCCCTCTGCTCACTCTCTTCCTCCTTGCTCTCTCTCTTCCTCCCTCCTCATTCCGTTTCCCCATTGCTCACTCTCTTTCTCCATTGCTCATTCTCTTCCCCGCTGCTCATTCTCGCATCCCCTGCTCATTCCCTTTCCCCATGCCCACCCTCTTTTCCCCTGCTCACTCTCTTTCCCCATGCCCACCCCCTTTCCCCTTGCTCTATCTCTTACCCCCTCCTCATTCCGTTTCCGTCTCTGCTCACTCCCTTTCATCATCCTCACCCTCTTCCCCTAATCACTCTCTTTCCCCCTGCTCACTGTCTCCCCTGCACTCTGTCTTTTCCTGCTTACGCGGTTTCCCCCCATGCAATGTACAGGTGCCCAGCACCAGGTGTAGGGAGGGAAAGAAAAGTGTTGGATATTTTTGTGCTGTGTGTGCAGACAAGACTGGGAAGATACATATTGTTGAGTAACTATGTTCTTTTAGAACTAGATCGTTCGTTGCACTTTGTAGGTGGTCAATGGTCACAGTACTCCATGGATCAAAATTGATTATTAATAATAAACATACAGCATGGGAATGGTTATGTGTCATACCTAGTGGTCCTACCAAACGACCAACATTCCAGAACCAAATGCATGGGGGGGGGGGGAGGGGGGGGGGGGGTACAAACAAGATTGTGTAAATCGGATGCTCGGAGGGGGTTAGGAGGAGATTGAGTGAGGCGGAGATAAGGCGAGGAGGCGGAGATTTAGGTTGTACATGCATGGCCCATGCGTGATGCCGCCCGGCAGCTGCCATGTGGCTGAGAAGGAGCCTCCCACTGAGGGAAACCCTGGACGGGGGGCAGAGAGGAGGGGAGTGTGCGAAGGAGGTAAGAAAAAAATTTGGAGTAACGGCGGAAGGGAAAGAGGCATTGCGCATGGTAGTGTGGTAGGGAGGTGATGGGGAAGAACCTTTCGGCGAGGAGGAAAATGGGAAGAAGCAGGGAGGAGAGCGGACGGGGTGGAGTGGAGGATGAGGATGAGAAGTAGGAAGGCAGGGAGATCGTGGCGAGGTGTGACGATGCCACGGGGTGCAATGGGACGGAATGGCTATGGCAGGTGGGTAGGCGACGTATGGGGTGAGGCGGAGATGGGTGAGGGGAGGGGACACAGGGCGGGTTTCCTTATCATTCACAGCAACAGCAGTAGGGATGGGGAGATGCGGGATGGGGAGGAGGAGAGGGATGGGGAGATGAGGGATGGGGAGGTGTGGGATGGGGAGGTGAGGGATGGGGAGGTGAGGGATGGGGAGGTGAGGGATGGGGAGGTGAGGGATGGGGAGGTGAGGGATGGGGAGGTGAGGGGTGGGGAGGTGAGGGATGGGGAGGTGAGGGATGGGGAGGTGAGGGATGGGGAGGTGAGGGGTGGGGAGTTGAGGGATGGGGAGGTGTGGGATGGGGCGGTGAGGGATGGGGAGGTGAGGGATGGGGAGGTGAGGAGTGGGGAGGTGAGGGATGGGGAGTTGAGGGATGGGGAGGTGAGGGATGGGGAGGTGAGGGATGGGGAGGTGAGGGATGGGGAGGTGAGGGGTGGGGAGGTGAGGGATGGGGAGGTGTGGGATGGGGCGGTGAGGGATGGGGAGGTGAGGGATGGGAAGGTGAGGGGTGGGGAGGTGAGGGATGGGGAGGTGAGGGGTGGGGAGGTGAGGGATGGGGAGGTGTGGGATGGGGCGGTGAGGGATGGGGAGGTGAGGGATGGGGAGGTGAGGGGTGGGGAGGTGAGGGATGGGGAGGTGTGGGATGGGGAGGTGAGGGATGGGGAGGTGAGGGATGGGGAGGTGAGGGATGGGGAGGTGAGGAGTGGGGAGGTGAGGGATGGGGAGTTGAGGGATGGGGAGGTGAGGGATGGGGAGGTGAGGGATGGGGAGGTGAGGGGTGGGGAGGTGAGGGATGGGGAGGTGAGGGATGGGGAGGTGTGGGATGGGGAGGTGAGGGGTGGGGAGGTGTGGGATGGGGAGGTGAGGGGTGGGGAGGTGAGGGATGGGGAGGTGAGGGATGGGGAGGTGTGGGATGGGGAGGTGAATGGTGGGGAGGTGAGGGATGGGGAGGTGTGGGGTGGGGAGGTGAGGGATGGGGAGGTGAGGGATGGGGAGGTGAGGGATGGGGAGGTGAGGGGTGGGGAGGTGAGGGATGGGGAGGTGAGGGGTGGGGAGGTGAGGGATGGGGAGGTGAGGGATGGGGAGGTGTGGGATGGGGAGGTGTGGGATGGGGCGGTGAGGGATGGGGAGGTGAGGGATGGGGAGGTGTGGGATGGGGCGGTGAGGGATGGGGAGGTGAGGGATGGGGAGGTGAGGGATGGGGAGGTGAGGGATGGGGAGGTGAGGGGTGGGGAGGTGAGGGATGGGGAGGTGAGGGGTGGCGCTGCACCTGGAAATAAACCGCTGTCTTGTCGTACGCTGCATGCGCTGACACTAACTCTAGCCTGAGGGGAGAAAGGTTGGAGACGAGAAGGGAGAAAGGGTGGGGATGAGAAGGGAGAAAGGGTGGAGGTTGGGTCGTTGCGTGTGTGACGACAGGGGAGTGAGCGTGGGCGGCGGAAGGGGCACGCGCTTTCGCGACGGGAGAGAGTGAGCGTGGGCGACGAGAGGGAGTGGGGGCGACGGAGGGGACCGTCGCGGCGGGAGGGAGTGAGCGTGGGGGGCGAAAGGGGAGTCATCGAGCGTGACAGGAGGAAGTGCGCGTAGACGCCGGAAGGAGATTGAAAGGGAGTGTGCGGCGCGGGCAGCAGCGTGCGACGAGAGGGGAGTGGCCATGTGCGACGAGCGGGGGTGAGCGTGTGCGACGGAAGGATTGCGTTAAGGCGATGGAAAGGGAGTGAGCGTGGGCGACGGGAAGGGAGAAAGCGCGGGCGGTGGGAACGGAGTGCGCGTGGGCGACGGAAGGGAGAGCGTGTGGGCGGCGGCAACGGAGTGCGCGTGGGCGAGGGAAAGGAGTGCGCGTGGGCGGCGGGAACGGAGTGCGCGTGGGCGCCGGAAGGGAGTGCGCGTGGGCGGCGGCAACGGAGTGCGCGTGGGCGACGGAAGGGAGTGTGCGTGCTCGGTCTCGGGGAGTGCGCGTGGGAGACGGGAAGGAATTTGTAATCCACGACGGAGGAGACGGGAGGGGAGGGAGCGTGCTCGTTTGAGCGAGGAAGCGTGAGCGATGGAGGGGAGTGAGTGTGTGGGATGGAAGGGGACCGAGTGTTCTCGTCGGGGAAAAGAAGCGAATGCGACGAAGTAGTTGGATAAAATCTTAATACCGCGCACAAAGAGGACGCCGCGGCTATGAACAGGGGCGACATGATGCGGTGGGCGATGGGGAGGTGCAACCAGGGCGACAATGGGCACATGTGCATCCATGGGCACGGCTAGCTAAGTCGAGTGAAAACGTGACCTAGAATCGCGGAAAAATATATCTCCGGATTGGACGGAATGGAGTAATAGTCCTAACGAGTAAGGCGGAAATAAGAGGCCTGGGGTTGGAATGGGGTTGGAGCCTAGCTGTTCTAAGCTGTGGCTGCAGCTCTAGCTGATCAGACTAGGTAGTTTCGAACGACCTGAATTACATATTTCCAGATTGGTGTGCACACCTCCGACCTCTGGCCAGAGTGGTTGCGCAGGAACCGAGCGACACTCCCCCGAGCTGCCTGCGACTTCATCACGTTTTGCAGGTGAACAACTGGTAACCACCCTGGTTCGGGAGGGAAAGTGTTAACACCTCCCAACTTTTTTTGTAATTCAGGCTGCGGGTTTTAAGAGTGAGTTATTACTTGGGAGTGAAGATTTGGGAGTGAGGGAAATGGGAGTGATGGATTTTGAAGTGATTCGGGAGTGAGGGATTTTGGGATTGAGAGACTTGGTATTGAAGGATATGAGGGTGAGTGATACAAGAATGAGTGATATGGGAGTGAGTGTTATGGGAATGCTATATGGTAGGGAGAATATGGGAATGACTGATATTGGAATTGTTGGAAACAATACAGTTCGCGCTTCTGATGTGGCAAACACCAGAACGTAAACGAAGCAGACTACTGCGAAGCAACAGCGAGTCAACCGAAACTACAGTGAAGCGGTTGACGAGAAAAGCAACAGCAAGAGGTTAAGCGAAGGTCAAAGGTCAGCGACCTTTGACTCGCCGAAAAGCAGCGCGACAGCAAGGACACACAACTGACTCGTTATTGAGCAGTTGCCCGAGTCGTCGCTGTATCGAATCGCAACAGCAGCTGTAAGAGCAGTTACTTTCTATTTCCTTGCTATAATCAACTTAACTTATCCTCACACACCAGTACAAGGTGGTTCAATCAGTTGACTAGATGCTTCCGCAAATTATATCATCATCCTGAGTCATAGTCTTGAAAACGATCCTAAGGGCTTTTCTCAGCCCAACATGGTATGAGAGCAGACAAGACAAGGCTCAACTATGTTCAACTTCCTACAACATCTAAATCATGGCAACATAGAAAGAGAGAGGCTCGTCTACTGGATCTCCCGGAACTACTCCTACCCCACCACCAACCTCTGGACTACAGATAGAGGGAGGCACAACTCAAAGACCAGCGGTCGAATCTACTGAAACACCCGTTAACCAAGCAATTGGCTTCGACCCAAGCATAATGGAGAAGTTCTTCTCCTTCATGTCGTTCTACGAACAACAGCAACAAGCGGCACCTGCGCAGTCAAACAACAGCAACAACAACGGCATTACCCCCATGAGTCTCGATGGCTCATCCTTTGCGCGCGGAAATCAGCAACCTACCTTCGCGTCGTACGAGCCTTAACGCGGCTCCATTAGCTTCATGCCGAATCGACTTCCAGTCACACCTGGACAAGAAACAAGGCCAATGGATGCGCTTTAGCTGCAGTCACAGTTTGCACACGTTCTGAAACGGCAAACGACAACACCTTTCTATGGCAAGGACTTCTATACATGGTCCTTCGAGTTCGAGCTGATGATGGAAGGCGCTCAAATTCTTGGCTTCTTTGACGGTTCCCTGCCATATCCAACGCACGGGACACAGCACGACAAGCAGCAGCACGCGTATCAGTCACTGATGGCATACACAATTCTCCTGCGAAATATAACGGCAAACGAGCAGCGGAACATTCGGTCTTATCGCGGATACGGTAACTCCGCCGAACTCGCGTACAACCATGTGAAGACCCTGTATCAAGCAAACGACAGCGTTAACTAGAGTCGTCTCATGGCGCAATTGACAACAGTCCAAATGCAACCCGGCGAAAAGGGAATGGCATATATCAGTCGCTGTCGTGGTCTACGCGACAGGCTCCATCGATGCGGCGGATCACTATCCGAAGAGGCATTCGTAACCATCGTCATTGCCGGCCTCGGACCCCAGTGGCGTTCCACGTGAGCTATCCTTCGACGCCACGGACAAATCTCCGAAGCAGCCCTCTGCGCAGAAATCCACGCCGAGCAACAAGACATGGACCTGCACGAAGAACGACACAAGAAAAGATCATCAGTACCGGAATTCGTCTTCCACAGTCAGAGACGCTACAACAACGACAACAACAACAACAACAACAACAACAACAACAACAACAACAACAACAACAACAACAACAACAACAACAACAACAACAACAACAACAACAACAACAACAACAACAACAACAACAACAACAACAAAAACAACAACAACAACAACAACAACAACAACAACAACAACAACCACCGACAACACGAGCATCAGGCATGAAGACACGTACCACCATTCTGTCACCTCTGCAGAACTTCTGGACACTTCCGTGTCCATCGCCCAAATCAGCAGCAGTCAACGCCACCACCACGCCAACTTCGACCTTCATGCATTCAAGTGACTTCCACGCAGCCACATCCTCCCAACCAGGCACAGTCCTCAACAACACAACCTGCATGAGGCACAACAAATATCGTAAGCTACATGACAAGGACGGACTCCTACATCACCGAATCACCACCAACTTATTCACCGGAAGAACTACTCGACGAACGTACACCTCGTCGCGAATCACTGGAGCCGAACCCGACGTACGCAGCCATCGCCCAGAGCGAACCATCCGGGAAGGACACTTGGTTTTTGGACAGCTGTTGCGGACAACACATGTGCTCCTCGAATTGTTTCGTTCAACGGGAACAACGCCTCAATCGCGAAGTCGTGATAACCGTCGCCAACAACCAGAACCTGCGCACACGACGACAAGGAGTGGTTCAGTTACAATCACGAGAAACTAACGTTATTCTGCAAATGTACAAATTCTTGATTGCAGAAGGCCTCGACTACAACTTACTCAGCGTCAGTCAACTCATGGCGAAGGGGATTCACCTTGAAGCCGACAGCACCACTCAGGAGTTCAAGCTGTACCACGGGAAGGGCGGCCTCTACATCGGGAAGGCGGTCCTCAAGAACAACGTCTTCGTCATAGACTTCGTTCCAGATCAAGGCGCCGCCGACAGCGACGGGATCGTAAGCTTCACCACTTGAATGCATCCGCCAGATCTTGACACCGATCTGAGTCGCGGAGGCTTCTTGTACTCACACACGATCCCTGAGGCAGAACGCACAAGAGCATTAGCCGGGACACAACAGGAAGCAGCTGGAACAATATCGGCAGCAGCAGAGACAACCTCGGAAGTAGCAGAGACAACCTTGGCAGCAGCAGAAACAACAACAGCAACAGGAACAACATCGACAGTAGCAGAGACAATAGCAGCACCAAACCTCCCTGTCGCAGGACCTTCAACGGCACCACCCCTCGAGGAACCAACACCAACTCCAGCCCGAAAGCTGACTCCAGTCCCACGAGCCATCCACCGAAGCGCCAACGTCGTCGCCAGCTTCTACTCCAACTCCGACCTGTACAGACGGTCACCTGGACATCGCGCCAACGAATCATTGTGGCACGAAAGGTTAGGTCTTCCCAGCAACACGACGCTGAACAACACAATAAGAGCAGGAGTTCTTGACAAAGACTCGCTACTCCTACCCGACAGCAGAGAACTTCAACAAGCTCATGGAACTTGCTTTACCTGCCCCGAAGCCGACTTACCGCATCAATCATTTGTTTCTCACCACAATCCGAGCGCACCGGCATATGCACCACTGGAGAAAGTCTACAACGACATCCTGTACGCGCGCGACAGTGGACAAGGAGACTACAACTACGTTATCACATTCATCAACGCCGCCACCAGATATGTCTGGCATCTTAATCTTCTGAGTCGCGACATGGCTTTCGAAGCCTTCGTCGCCTGGCTACCAGTAGCAGAAATGATATCAGGAGTAAAGCCGAAAAGCTTTCAATCAGACGGGTGAGGGGAATATCAGTCACAGAGGTTCAAGCAGTACTTGGCAGAGAGAGGCATCAAGCGGCTCATCTCCCTTCCCTACGCTCATCAACAGCAAGGCGTAGCAGAAAGGATGAACACAACCCTCCAGAACACCATGCGCAAGCTGCTACGTGGCATGCAATTGCCCGAGAGCCAGTGGCCTGCAACAATGGACCATGCTGTCATGCTGCACAACTTGCTCTCGTCGTCCTCACTCCGAACAACGCATCACCGCACCTGCTGTGGACAGGAAAATTGGGCAACACAAAAATGTTACGAGTGTTCGGCTGCATGGTACAGTACCGACCGCACACCGCTCAAACTGGACGAAGCACATCGCCCTGCGATATTTCTTCGTAAAAGACGAGATCGAGAAGGGGAGACTCGAGCTATCTTACTGCCCCACATCCGAGATGGTAGCAGACTACTTGACCAAGAAACTTGGAAAACAGAAGTTCGAGTACTGCATGCTGCTGACTGGACAAGGCCACGTCACCAACAACGAAGGCAATGACACTCCAAAAGGGAAGGGGAATGTTAGAAACAATATAGTTCGCGCTTTTGATGTGGCAAACACCACAACGTAAACGAAGCAGACTACTGCGAAGCAACAGCGAGTCAATCGAAACTACAGTGCAGCGGTTGACGAGAAAAGCAACAGCAAGAGGTTAAGCGAAGGTCAAAGGTCAGCGACCTTTGACTCGCCGAAAAGCAGCGCGACAGCAAGGACACACAACTGACTCGTTATTGAGCAGTTGCCCGAGTCGTCGCTGTATCGAATCGCAACAGTAGTTGTAACAGCAGTTAGTTAAACCTTTCGTATTCCTTGTTATCATATAAAAAACTTTGTATTTCCTTGCTATAATCAACTTATCTTGTCCTCACACACCAGTACAAAGTGGTTCAATCAGTTTACTAAACGCTTCCGCAAATTATACCATCATCCTAAGTCATAGTCTTGAAAACGATCCTAAGGGCTTTTCTCAGCCCAACAGGAATGAGTGATACGGGAATATGGGAATGAGTGACATGGGAATGAGTGATATGGAAATGAATGATATGGGAGTGAGTTATATGGCAATGAGTGATATTGACATGAGATGAATACTTTGGGAATGAGTGATACAGAAATGAGTGATATGGGAATGAGTAATATGTGAATGAGTGATACGGAATTGAGTGATATGGGAATGAGTAATATGCGAATGAGTGACATGGAACTGAGGGATATGGTAGTGAGTGATATGGGAGTGAGTGATATGGGAGTGAGTGACATGGGAGTGAGTGAAATGGGAGTGAGTGATATGGGAGTTAGTGATATGGGAGTGAGGGCATGGCATGCTGCAAAATCGTCATGAGCCCAATGCGTATGTAAGGGCACTCGTGAGATGCGTGACACCGAGAACAATGGAGATGACAGCTGCTATGCAAGGTAGAACGCTTAGCCAGAGAACATATACATCTCACACATGTGTGAAGTACATACTACTCACGAATTGGAGTTTGAGAGGTATAAAAATGAAGGAACCGGTGAATGATTAATAGCACGGTAGCAAACTCCATAAGGGGCCATATATAATGTACGTTGATGGCTTATTGTATGCCTTTGAAACTCCTACTAAGAGTATACATGTAGACAATCAGTTTTTTTTTTTTTTTTTTTTTTTTGTTAAGAACAGTGTCGTTCGATCGATGTTTCTAAAAAAACAGGATGTGTTGATGTTGTTTTGAGTTGTCCTAAACAGAGTGCGCAGAAGACTTCTATAAAGAGACTGTGATTACAGAATGAAGAAACAATGAAGAAAACGAACAAATATAGGGCGAATGCGTGCTAGGCGAGAAGTGGGTGACGTGTGTGGCTCGGAAATGTCGCGATTGGTGATGGGCGACTCGGCATTGCTTCGGTACGAAAGTCTAGGCCGAGCCACACTGACGCGAAGTGCTCGGGGCTGTCCTCGCTAGGAGCAGCCTCTACAGTAATGAATGTATATTCATTACACTCTCCCACCTTCTAAATAAGGTGCACTTATACGAAGTCGAGTCTTGCAATAGCTTGAAAGCTGCAGATCTTCGGTTGAAGCCAATTTGACGGTGCAGAAGCACGTTGACTTTCAAGCTGACGCGTGGCTGAGCGCGTTGACCAAGGCGAAATTCAGAGTTGGAATGTCAGCCGTTGATACTGCCGATGTCGATCGGGCGGTTGAAAGCGAATATCGAATTGAAAATCCGTTGATGAATGAGAGTCGTCGATGTCGCGAAAGTAAAACGGACGGTAAAGATAAAACAAGCTGTTGGCGGGAAGTCTGACACATTGTCAGAGAACGTTGAATCTGAAGCCGTCGATGTCGTTGAAGCCATCGCGTTGAATGTGTCAGATGAACTGTCAGAAATAACTGCCGAAATGTCAGAGACCTGCCAGGTACAGTGCGACAGCACTCTTTTCCCCCCACTGGAAGATAATTGCTGCCCACCAAAATGTGCACGCTGCGCGGGCACAAAACCACAACCACCCTGACGCCGAGGGTAGAACAGAATACCAAGTGTTATGACCTCCCGTCTGAAATTCAGCCGTTGTGCTGTCAAAATTTCTCTCGGTGGCGAAATCTTCACTGTCGAAGACTCAGAAAAATGCCTAGGGTAAACTCTTTCGAAGCACATCGTAGAATTTCACGGGATCGAAATTATACTTGTTGTCGCCAGCCTGTCAGAATGTCCCGATTGCTGCCGCATCCCCGGCTGGCAGCATCTGCAATCCGAAAACTGTGCTGCTGTCCTTTTGTCGCGACTGCTGCTGCAGCATTTCCAGCGGCTGCCACCCCGAAAATCCCGCGTGGCACAATCGAGTCAGGGTGCGTTCCTGACGCGTGTCAAACTTCCGGTCTTCCCGAGAAGACCCAAAGGTTTAGGTCAAACTTCCTGTCAAACTTCAAGTCTTTCAGAAACAGGGGCGATTTTTAGCTGGAAGACCCGAAGTTGGTCTCGTGGGGCCAGCTTCGTGTTATCCCTGGAAGACCGGAAGTTTGACACGCGCCAGGAACGCACCCTCTGTCGACTGCTGCAGTATCTCCAGTTGGCAGCAGTTCCTACCCAGAGCCGGTGCCATTCTGTCGCTTGCTGAAAAACGAATCCGTCCCGAACAGGCTTGTCGATTCACGGGCATTTGCCCGTTTTCCCTGAGAATTCAGGGTTCGTTTCAACTCAGCTCAGAGATTTTCAGGGCTGGTTTTTTCCTGGCCCGTATTCCTGACGGACGGGTTTGGAGCCTTCCTCGGATTTCCCGTGTACCTGCTCTCCCCTCCCCCCCCCATTCCCCCCTTCTTCCTGACCTTCGACCGTGCACGTGTCCCACTTCTCTTCCTCCCAAACCTCTCTACTCACCCGCACCAGCGTGCTCTGAACGGTAGAGTATGTACCTAGAGTTACTTAGCTTTCTGGCGCATGTGGCTCAGGGCAGGAATCCAAATGGCCTGAATTTAAGGGCTAGATTCGACTGCTGTCCGGATGCTTCAGGGCTTGTTTCGGGCCAGCTCAGCTTCGTAAGGTTTACGGCCATTATCTCCGATACTCAAATTATGCCCGGAGCGTTTTTCGTTCATACTCAACCTGTATTCCTCATCGCCGATTGGCTCTCGCTCTTTAATCACACTTTCTACGCTAATAATACTGTTGAAATATGATAGAAACAGAACGCGGTTACTGAACGCAGTTACCACATTAAATTACGAAAAATTGTATCGCGCTTTCGATGTGAACTTAAAACTCGCGACTCATATTTACAAACGTTCTACACTTATACCCTGACGTTTAACACTTGGCTGGTTTGCTCGCCCGTGATTGGTGAAGCAAAAAAGTTACCCCAGCTCGTCATAGATTTTGTAGTTCGCCAACCAATCACGGAATCCTAAATCCAACCAAGTCTTCAACAGTTTTAAATTTGAGATGAAATCTTTCAATCCATATCTACGCGCCCTTGGATCGGAGCTTAACTTCAGTAAAGAACAATAAGTATATTAACACTCATTAAAAAACTGCAGGCAAAAGCGAAGGCATCAACCTTAAATATTTGGTAGCTTCCTGTATTTATGTTTGATTTTCCCAAAGTGTATTCAGGTTATCTAAGTGTTTCATTTTATATCTTGTTTTGTTTGCAGGGGTATGTGCAGGTGAGGTGTTAGTGGCAACTTTGTTTCAGTTTTGTGCCTATAAAAAAATGAAACAGTATATGTGAGCAATATAACGAGAAATTGTCGGTTGAGTACGAACGAAAAATGCTCCGGGCATAATTTGAGTATCGGAGATAATGGCCGTAAGGTTTAGGCCCAGACCAAGCGACAGCCCTGGTCCCGAACTTCTTCTATCGTGATTCCAGATCGTGAAGGTTCGTCGTCGAAGCTGTCGCGAAAATTGCGAAGTCGTTGGAGTACATCAGCGATTGTCGGCGAGAAGGGCGGATCACGTAACAAACCGAGTGTTGTCGTGAAACTCTATCGATTATTCCTTTCAAAATCTGAACTCAGGTGTCGGTGACGTCAGCACCCTCGGCGATCTTGTCGTGGCTCGCCGAGGTATTTATCGTGATTCTCCGAAAACTCCCGGGCAGAGGTGAAAACAACTATTGCTCCTCCCCCTGACCGTCGCATCAATTTTTTCAAACTCGAACTTGGACTGTTGATGACGCCAGCTGCACTGTCGGTGTTGTCGTGACTAGCGGAGAACATCGGGGCAGAGGCGAAAAAGCTGGCCTTCCTCCCCTCCTCCTGTTGCGATAAAGGGGTGATCAAAGTACTGCACCAGCGAGATGTCGAGGGATGTCGGTGAATCTTGACGGTTGGAGCCGTTGATCCGAGGGTTGACATTCACCGACGTTCCTCGACGTCGAGCTGGTGCAGTACTTTGATCACCCCTTAATTTTCACCGGTGTTGCGGCTGGTACCCCTGCGACTCTGCAGATTTTGCCGCCATGAAGGTCTTCCACGGCAGTTTTCGCGCGCTTAGCCAAGCGCCGCTGCAACTCCGCCGTTCGCTTGAAACTGTCGGCCGAACTCTTGAAAAACCGATACTCGGTACTCGCCGCAGTTGATGACCACGTGATGAATGCCAACACGCGCAGCTGTTGCTTCCGATCTGAGAATCTCGCACATGCAGTGACGACAACCTGCTTGACGCCAACTGCCGCATGAAAAACAGTGCCGAGATTAACGGAAGTGACGAAAACAACAAATGTAATTAACGTGCGACAGCCACAGCTGTCCACCACCCGGGGGGAGGGAGGCCACGGTCGATCTTGACCGTCGAGGGCAAGGATCCGTCGGTGCAGCAGGAGCGCCAGTGAAATTCATTGCCGCTAGGAGCAACTACCCGTTCTCATAGCCGGCTACTGCGCTGCTCTTGTCACAACGGCATCCTTCCCTGTCCCCCCCCCCCGAGGGGTAATACACTCTAAAAAACGGGGAAGCTAGGAAAGTAGCTCTGATACCAAGTGTTATGAGTTGTCCTAAAGAGAGTGCGCGGAAGACTTCTATAAAGAGAATGTGATTACATAATGAGGAAAAATGAAGAAAGCGAGCAAATATAGGGCGAATGCGTGCTAGGCGAGAACCGCGTGACGTGCGTGGCTCGGAAATGTCGCGATTGGTGATGGGCGACTCGGCATTGGTTCGGTACGAAAGTCTAGGCCGAGCCACACTGACGCGAAGTGCTCGGGGCTGTCCTCGCTAGGAGCAGCCTCTACAGTAATGAATGTATATTCATAACAGATGTGATGTTTGTAAGTTTATGAGAGGTGAAACACATGTGCATCCTTTCTCAAATTGTGATTCCAACATTGTCAAGAATTTGCAAAACTGATTTCAGAAGATAGAAATTTCACGCATTGAAAGCACAAACATGTATTGCTCACTCCAATAACAAGCAGCAAGCAGTAGAAACAACATGAGAACTAATTACAACAAAATTTCAGAATCTACAAGCAAGCCTAGAGTGGGAGGATGGGCTTCGATGCACCTCAGTAGCAGGTGCGATGGGGCTTGAGGTGAATCAAAGCTCATCCATTCTCTGGCTTTCCCCTTAGCCATTCCCTTGGCCAGCTCCTTCACCCTACGGGTGCTAACCCTATCCTTAACTGAGAACTGCGTTGCTTGACGCACGTGTTTGCTTGCCCCCCTGCCTGCCTGCCTGTCCACTGTGAACCACTAAGGCCTGCCCCCTCCCATGCCTCCTCCCCCCATGCCTCCTCCCCCCATGCCTCCTTCCCCCATGCCTCCTTCCCCCATGCCTCCTTCCCCCATGCCTCCTTCCCCCATGCCTCCTCCCCCCATGCCTCCTCCCCCCATGCCTCCACCTCCGCCCATCCCTCCCCCTCCCATCATCCCTCCTCCTCCGCCCATGCCACCCCCAGGCCCTCCCATTCCCCCGCCCCCTCCGATTCCCCCGCCCCCTCCCATTCCTCCGCCCCCTCCCATGCCCCCGCCTCCTCCCATTCCCCCTGGCCCTCCCATGCCCCCGCCTCCTCCCATTCCCCCTGGCCCTCCCATGCCACCACCAGCAGCACCACCGCCCATGCCTCCACCGCCCATGCCTCCACCGCCCATGCCTCCCCCGCCCATGCCTCCCCCGCCCATGCCTCCCCCGCCCATGCCTCCCCCGCCCATGCCTCCCCCGCCCATGCCTCCCCCGCCCATGCCTCCCCCGCCCATGCCTCCTCCGCCCATGCCTCCCCCGCCCATGCCTCCCCCGCCCATGCCTCCCCCGCCCATGCCTCCCCCGCCCATGCCTCCTCCGCCCATGCCTCCCCCGCCACTCATACCCCCCGACAGGCCGCCCTGACTGCCGCCCATCCCTCCATTATAGTCTCCACTGTAGTCACCATTGCTGCCCCCGTTATAGTCACCGCCATTGCTCCCCCCGTTGTAGTCACCACTGTTGCCGCCATCATAGCCTCGTCCAGTGTTTCCCCCTCTGTAGTCACCACCAGTGCTGTAGTCCCCTCCATTCCCCCCGCTATAGTCACCACCACCATTACCAACCTCATAGTCACCGCCATTGCTTCCCCCACCATAACCACCCCCAGGTCCGCCCTGTCCGCCCTGTCCGCCTCCAGCTCCCCCTTGCCCGCTCCCAGGTCCGCCCTGCCCATTCCCAGGTCCCCCGCCTTGCCCTTGCCCTCCCCCACAGCCCCCATCACCAGCAGCACCACCAGCGCCCCCCCCTCCTCCTCCCCCTCCTGAAGCTCTGTAGAAACCGCCTTGTCCGCCTATGTTGCCTCCACCATTGCCGCCGATGTAGCTCCCCCCATTGCTGTAGTCACCACCATTGCCGCCCCCAGCTCCCCCCTGCCTTCCACCAGCGCCAGGTCCGCCCTGCCCGCCCCCAGGCCCGCCCTGCCCGCCCCCGAATCCCCCCTGTCTCCCACCGGCTCCCCCTTGCCCGCCCCCTGGCCCGCCTCGTCCGCCCCCAGGTCCGCCCTGACCGCCCCCAGGCCCCCCCTGTCCGCCACCAGGTCCGCCCTGTCCGCCCCCAGGCCCTCTCTTGCAGTCCCCCCCACCGCCTCCCCTTCCTCCGCCTCCTGCGCCCCCACCACTGCTACCTCCGCAGCCATTACCCCCACCGCCACTGCCACCCCCATAGCCTCCCCCGCTCCCCCCATTATTGTCTCCTTCACCATTGTAGTCCCCTCCATTCCCCCCGTTATAGTCACCACCACCATTACCACCACTGTAATCACCCCCGTTGTTCCCCCCGTTGTAGTCACCCCCATAGTCGCCCCCACCTCCGCCAGTGCCTCCCCCTGCGCCCCCACCAGTGCCGCCACCCCCTCCCCCTCCGGACGAGGCAGAGGAGCACGCGAAGTCCACTTGCAGCGCGCCACTGGGAGGATGGGAGAGAGGGGGAGGAGGGGAGGGGGAGAGACGGAAAAGCAGGGAGCATGAGAAGAATGAACTAAGTGAAGGAAAACGGAAGCTGCGAGATGGTTTGGAATGAAGTGAAGAGATGAGTTGGCTCAGACGGTACTCAGTGAGTGCCACTCATAGCTGCAGTGGAAGCTGAGGGCTCGTACTCACACTCTCACCCTGGTCTATGCTGGTCTGTGCTGAAAGAGATAAGTTTTCAGGAACTAAATCATGAGATGAGGGACTGCACTCACTCATAGTCTTCGTGGAAGCTGAGGGACCGCACTCTCTCTTTCTCTCACACCCACGTCTGGGCTGGTGTTGGAAGACTGACTCATAGTCGCCGTGGAAGCCGAGGGAATGCACTCACTCAGTCTTCGTGGAAGCTGAGGGACCGCACTCTCTCTTTCTCTCACACCCACGTCTGGGCTGGTGTTGGAAGACTGACTCATAGTCGCCGTGAAAGCCGAGGGAATGCACTCACTCAGTCTTCGTGGAAGCTGAGGGACCGCACTCTCTCTTTCTCTCACACCCACGTCTGGGCTGGTGTTGGAAGACTGACTCATAGTCGCCGTGGAAGCCGAGGGACTGCACTCACTTATTCTTGCCCTTCACATGTTCACTCATTCCCTGCATTCAACTACGTCACTCACTCGTAGTCGCCGTGGAAGCCGAGGGACTGCACTCTCTCACACGAGATGCAGATGAGATGCAAATGATATGATATCCCAAGGGGCTGCTTTTGAGGCGCCTCATAATGAGATCATATCCCAAGGGGCTGCACTCACTCGTAGTCGCCGTGGAAGCCGAGGGACTGCGAGCCATCGGCGGAGTGCGCCCACACGAGCGTGTCGCTGCCCTGCACGATCACCGGCACCGACCCGTCTCCTGCCGTGCGGTTGAACCTGAATACCGAGAAAAAGGGGAGGGGGAGAGCGCAGCCGCTGCGGAAATGGCAAGTGCCGAAAGTCACAAGAATGTCACAGAAATGTGACTTTCATGTGACAACAAGTCCGGCGTTTTTTAGTCATGGTTGAAAGTACCGGCCAAGATGTGACCTACGAAGTCACATAAAAGTCACGTTGATGTGACCAAATGTCATACAGAATGTCACATTTTAGTGTCTCATGAAGTGATGTTCTCATCACATTTTAGTTAACATGCCACGTGGATACCCCGCGTCCACGTGTAATCAGATATGTTGCCACGTGTCACTGTTGGTGATTGGTCGAAATAGACCAATCAAATGTCAGCGAGCCGGGTGCGGAACTAGTATTTGATTGGCCGGCGATTTTGAACAGTAACCCACCACGCGGCACACCCATCGTCCCCATTTAGTACCCGAAATTTCAGAACAGCAAGAAGTAGATGAAACTCTCAAATGGCTTCTTTAGTCACATGTTCATACATGGATGTACGAACTACAGATACCGCACATGTGTGCGAACTAGGGATACAACACAGGTGTACGGACAAGAGCCACTGCACGTGTGGTCGAAATGCAACCTGCACGACGTCCGTACGTCGTCTAGCTACGAAAACCGTGGTATGCCGAGCAATCATTGGACCGTATGGTCGCACGAAACATGCTGAAATCTGCACACAACAAAACCGGAACTTGAACCTGCACACAAGAAAAAAAAACATGAAACGTGATAGAACCTCGACATCATAGCGATTTGTTTCATCTGAATTTCCAGAGATCAAAACCGCGCTATGCAGCGACCGCTACTTATAAAACAAATTTCATACCTCCAGGTCGTCCGAATGCACAAATCAGCCAGCCGCAACATACCCTTATCAGCTCTTGTGGCACTTCTGCACGCCGCGATCTGCACGACGCAGAAAAAACCCATGGATAAGCCAATAAACTAGACATTACAGCTTGTCCGAAATACAAAATCAAAGTCTGGGGCAGTGAAACAGGAACAAGCGTCACTGCACTTCGGTCGCTGTTGCTCTCACACGATACACAAAATGGCATGACACGCTCCTTGGTGATGTCCCATGCGAACTGCAACGCGGAGATGAACGGAAACAATATTAGGAAGAGAGAGAACTCAGGCCACGGGATTTAATGGAAAAAAAAACAGTCGTTAGCGCCACCTGCCACATGTTAACTATCATAGAGAAGCAAGGGGGGCGGCATCAGCAAGAACGACACCATGGTCGACGGAGGCGTGGGAGCCATCTACGAAACTTGCGTTTGCATTTTTTGCGAGGGATGTTGCGTGCGGATCGGATTAAGGTCATGGGAGACAAACGAAAGCTGTTGGCGTGCGCATCCCAATGGAGCCTCACCATCACTGTTATCCTCATCGGCTGCCCGGAAGTCGACATCTCGTCGCTAAGTGTGCGGTAGCGCTGATGCTACCACAAACTACCCTAGGGAATGGAGGTGGGAGGGGAGGGTAGGATTAGTGCGGGGTGGATGCAGAATGAGATATGTAAACAGAGTAGCTTCATCGTGGCAAAACTACTACCACTAGCGCCGAGAGTGGCATTTGAGATGCGCGTGAACACAAGGCCCAGGGCGGGATAGCATATATCTCTAAAAACCTTGAGCGTGGTGGTAGATCTTCACGAGTATAGTGCTAATGGCGGTTGAAGTGCGGAGTTTGATAGAAAGGTGTGATAGGAGGCGAGCATAAAACTGAGGTATGAACTATGAACAACAAAAGTGAAATGCATGGAACATTTGTATGGCGAATGGGGTAGGGTTTCACGATGGCTGAGGCTCGAGTGGTTGGGATGGGCGGATATCGGAGGCGGTATTTGTGTTTATGAGCTGCAGCAATTGGTTGGAATGATTCGTGAGGCTCACCTCAAGAGTGGAAGATATGGGTAGGGTTGTGACGTGGAACATCCAGAATTTTCTTCTAGCCATGTACACAGTTTGGAATGGCTCTGATTGGTTTGTGGGTTGCACTTCTTGGTCTGATGTGTAGCTTTGATTGGTTTGCATACGTCACTATTGAGTCCGACGCGTAGCTTCCAGGTGTACTTGATGGAATCAACTAGATTCTGTTTTTACGACATTCACAAAATCTGTTGCCCCGTCTATTTGTTTTCGCTAGTGGTCGGGTTGCTTCGCATGCCTCGTGGTCACTACCTAACCAGAGTCTAAACCGTGTTCGAGCTATACGTTATAACCACAAAACTGGCCGCAATTGGTACAAATGTCGTTTAATGAGTCACCAATGTTGCGTATCGGAGTCCGAATGTGTTGGATTCGAACCGCGGAGTCGGAAATTTGGTCGCATCGCGCATTTCGCGCCACAATTCTGTGCATGTGTCGCTAGATGTGACTCTGATGTGACTTTTATGTATACCGAAAGGAGTCACGGAATTGTTACGGAGTGTGCTGTTAGGTTTCCGGAGCTCGTTGGGACTTTTTGTATGCTTTTCGGAGGAAAAACCTACCGAGGCCCAAAATTTAGACCCAACCAATTTCGCGATGGCGGAGAATGAGTGTGTGGGTGAGAGAGTCAAAAGCCTAAAAAAGGCCTGACACTCACCCTGAACCCTAAACCGCGAATCCCCTTCCAAATCCGCAAATATGGATCTCTCAGAAAACCATCGCTACGTACTTGAGAATGGTGGATCCCGAGGGTGACATGGCGAGCTGCGCGTTGCCAATATCGAAGCTGCTTGTGGGCTGAACGTCGCTCTGCGCCGTGCCGCTCATGTACACCGCCTGGACGGCGGCGCCGCCCGCCAGATTACCCACCACGGCGTCGGACGCCGCCATGCGGCCCGTCGCCGACCACCCCACGGCGAACCACCCCGCCGCCGCTGCGCTGCCGCCCGCCGCTTCCAGCGCCAAGGCGAGGCGCGACGAGTCCACTGCGCGCCAATGCAGCGTGAGTCCAGTGGACTCCAGCGCTGCCGACCACGAGAACCCCTCCAGCGCCGACGCCGCGCACCCCGCGCCCGCCTCCGCGGTTGTAGCAGCCGCCGCGGCGGTGCCAGCAGCGGTGGTTGTAGTAGCAGCAACGGCAGTGCTGCCAGCGTTGCTCCTTTTACCATTGATATTGCCGCGAAGGAACGTGCTTCCTGAAGTCCATATTGTGTGCGCTATGGTCCGGCCGCTCGATACTACTCCCTGGGACCGAAGCGCCTTGTGCCTCGCGCCGTCTGTGGCACTTGGGAAGCAGAGCAGCGCCGAGCTGAGGAGCAGGAGAAGAATCACGCAGCTGCTGTCTGCTAATCCAGCAGACGATACTGCCTTGCGTCGATGCATTGCGGAGGGAAAATTGCCGCTGGACAACTTCAGCGAAGCAAGTCTCACACCTTATCTTGGGAAAAATGTGCTGCACGCAATTCTATTTATAGGAATCGTAGAACGTCTGCCGCTGTCTTTGTGTTGTGTTTGTGATGTGCTGCATTTCGTTCAATTTATCAGCGTGGGGTGCCCTCGGCAAAACTGGACGGAGAGGAATCGCACCGCCATAGAGACATTGCGAACACCGGCGACGGCACGTAACAGATTGTTTGGGGAACAAAAGTAGGCGAAAGCTTCAAGCCGAGCTCACGAAGATCGCAAATTAACTGGTAACGCTCTGCGAGCGCTGTGATCCTGAATAGGAGAAATTGCTTGACGACGGATTCAGAAGTGCGCTGACCCTCGACACAACATCCTTCAGAATAGGTGACTGGGCCCGTTTGACTCGTCAACTTACTGGCTCGACAACAGTCCAGAGAATTCAAGAGAATGCTCCATGTTTGGCAGATCTGCTGTAAGCAAAGAGTGTTAGACCCTGAAACGGATGAAGTGGAATATACTACATACAAGTTTAGTTCCAATGCATAGACAAAGTTTTACCATTTCTCCATGAATTATAATCTTTAAATATGTTATTAATATGTTTGCGAATCATGATTATGCTGAATCAGTTTTCAACGACTCAGGCAATATGCATTCAAATAATAGCAATTCTTTTTTGTGTAACTATCAAGTTTGAATCATTGGATGAAGGGGGTTGGGCTGGGCAGCTTCGTTGAAGGGGCTCCAGTGTGCTGACAGATTGCAGTCTATTGCTGATCTGGTGCTTGCGTCAGGTGGGCTCTCGTATCCACGTCATCCAACGACTTGACCAAAGGAAACTGTTTCCCGCCAACAACTATGGTGGAATGGGCCCACGTCATCCGCCGACTTTTTTCTCGTCTTGTATCTCGTAGTGGGAAGCTATGGTGGAATGTTATTTTTGTGAATTACTTGAAGCCAAACTTACAGCTTGTTCTGGCCCACAAGCACCAAGTCGTCCTGAGGCTCGTTTTGTGACGGACCTTGCGGCTGGCGTGAGCTTGATTGAGCTTTTTGAGCCTAGGACTGGCGAGTTTCTCATAACCGTCGCCTGTCAGGCGGCATTAACATTACTCTTCACATAACATTTTCGCTCCGTGCTTGCTTCCACGGCTCGTTCACAGCTGCGTAGCGCTCTCACAACTGCTTGCAGTCGCATTGCGGATTCGCACTATACACAGATGCCATCGCATCACATTCATTCCGCTAGTGATTGGTGAAGCTCGTTCCCTGTACTCCTCTGACGTCCGCTCGCTTTGCTGACGGTCATCCCCCGTTGCCATCATGCCGTTCGTTAGGATAGTCTGTGGGGACACGTGGAACGATTCCGCCTGAATTGTTCGATCTTGGATCAAACTGCAGAGTGATCAGTAATCAGTTTGAGCGCCAGACCGGAACTAGGTGCCACCGCAGGACTATAGATCAATCAAGACTTGAATTCGAATAGACATGTCCAGATTTCGGAGAATAACTAGGCTGATAGAAGGCATATCTTTCCCCCAGAGACTGATTCTCGTCGACCAGAGAGCAATAGCCGGACCAGAAGCAGTGCGAGAATGGAGTCAACAATCAGCATGTACAGTGCGACATACGACAAGCTTAGTACCGGCAAATTTGTCCGACTGCAGAACAGGCACAGTGGTTGTGTCGAAGTACGCTCTTAACGGGTTGAATCAACGGTGGTCTTATAACGGGTTGAATCAACGAATGTCCTGTAACGAGTTCAGTCGACGAAGCCTCTGGGGCGCGGCAGCGTCGTCTGGCGATGCTCTTCCTTCCGCAGATCCTGAAGGTACGAAGAACATGAGGGTCAAAATTCCTTAGAGGCGCCTCAGAAGTCGTCTTTTGATGTGCCAGAAGAGTCGTCTGGCGATGCTCTTCCGGCTTCAGATCCTGAAGGTACGAAGCACATGAGGGTCAAAGATGAGGCAAATGAGGCCCACACGTTTCCACACGCCTTACGAGCGGGGATCGCGAGCGGCTTAAGCCAGCTGGGGGAGCTGCGAAACGGTTTACGAGGCACCTCAAAACACATATTCCTTCACCTATTTGGTGCTGGTGCTAACCCTACCTGGCAGTCAAGGTCTTCCGAGCGGGTCCAGAAGGCGAGTACGAGCGGCGGAAGCAGCTGGGGGAGCTGCGAACGGGCGACCCGTTTCAGGACGAGACCGTGGGGACGCTGCAGAAGCTGTATGACGTGTTGATCGGCTTCGGAGGCCATCCCGAGTTCCAACTTCAAAAGTAAGCACAGGTGCATATTTGCTTAGTTTTTCGGAACTCTCAGAAAGCAGCTCTGGGGGACTTGCGAATGGGCGACCCATTATAGGACGGAACTGCGGGGATGCTCCAAGCTTTACGGCATGCTGATTGGATTTGGAGGCGACCTCGAGTTCCAGCTCCAAAAGTAAGTGCAAGCGTCTAGGGGTGGTTGGTTTCTGGGAACTCTCAGAAAGCAGCTTGGGGAGCTCTGATGAAAGCGGGCGATCCGTTTGAGGGCGAAACTGTGGCAACGCTGCAGAAGCTGTACGACGCGTTGATTGGATTCGGAGGCCACCCCGAGTTCCAGCTCCAAAAGTAAGCCCAAGCCCCTCTTATCTTTTCCCTTCCACCAACTCCAACTGCAAAACCAAGCATGCCACCTGCTAAAGTAAGCGGCCCCATCATCCCTTTTACAACCCGCCCTACCTCCCTTCCCTTCTCCCCCCTTCTCCCCTACTTGCCTACCCTTTCCCTCCCCTCTCTCCTCTCCCACCCCTCCTCCCCTTCCAACCTCTCTCACTCCCCTCCTCCCTCTCTTTAGCGTGCTTCATTCTCCATTTCCCCACCACTCCACCGTCACTCTCACCATTTGTTTTGCTTCTCAGCAGCGAGCAGTTCACGTGTTGTTCTTTGTGGTCATTCTCCTTCCATGCCCAACCCTCTTCCCAACCACTGGGCAGGAGGAAGCGGCGGCCGGCCTTCTGGTCGCTGTTCATGCGCAAGCCGCAGAGCCACCCGCCCATGAGGGGGCTGTACCTGTGGGGCGGCGTGGGCACGGGCAAGACCATGATGATGGACCTCTTCTTCCACGAGCTGTGAGTTTTTTAGGTGGTGTGACCCTTGAGAGAGCTGCAAGCGCACCTTCACCTGAGTGGCTTCGTGTGGGCACGGGCAAGACCATGATGATGGACCTCTTCTACCATGAGCTGTAGTGCTGTGAGTCGTAAGGTCCCTCTCTGCGTATTCAAAGAGGTGTAAACCGTTTCATATCCCTGAGGCTGGTGAGCACAGGCAAGACCATGACATGATGATGGTCCTTTCTTTCACGAGCTGGGAGTCTTGGAAGAGCTGTAAGTGTGCACATGAGTGCTGTGCACCCTTGTGTTTTGTGCCTGTCTGGTTCTCACTGCTCTCACTGCTCACACTGTTTCCATTGCTCTCCGAGCTGAGTAGCCTAGTTAATCAAGTTAACCATCCCTCCCTCTTTTGGCTTTCTCCTGCTCTCAGCCCAGAGTGGATCACAAAGTCGAGGATCCACTACCACGACTTCATGCTCTCAGTGCACTCCAGGCTACAGGCAAGTGGTGCCACGTAGGCAGTTTTGCCACGTGGACAGTTGTGGGCACGTAGGCAATGTTGCCACGTAGGTCGATCCCTGCATATTTCTCCGTAATTCTACCGAATGAGTGCTTGCTGCTTTCCGTTGAAGAAGTTCTCTTGCTGCCTCTGGATAAAGCTTCATGTCCTGCTCTCCACATTCTCCCTCTCCCCTCCTGACAGAAACACACGCAAGGGCACGTCTGAACCCTTGGAAATTGTGTGAAACTAGATTACTGCTGAAACGAGAGTTTGTTTTGAAGCTCCTCCTCAATAACAGGCCTTTCCCGTTCTCCCCTCTTCTCCATCTTGCATCCTCGCAGAAGCACAAGGGCACGTCCGACCCCTTGGAGATTGTGGCTACTGAGATTGCCTCGGAACAAGAGTCTCTTTTTTAAGGCGACCCAATAACAGGCTTTTTCCTGTTCTCCCGCCTTCCCCCTCGCCTCTCCTCGCAGAAGCACAAGGGCACATCTGACCCCTTGGAGGTGGTGGCTACCGAGATTGCCTCGGAAACGAGGGTTCTCTGTCTGGATGAGTTTATGGTGAGTGCAGTGGAGCATGGGGTAACAGTGACTTTCGAGTCACTAGGAAGCCACAAGGGCACGTCTAGAAAGTCACAAGGGCACGTCTGACCCCTTGGAGATTGTGGTGAACGAATTGACCTCGGAAACGAGAGTTCTCTTTCTAAAACGGAATCACCTTTATGGTACCTGCAGTGCATAACAGTAGTTTTTTTGTTCTCGTGTTTGAAACAGTATTCTCATAGAATTGGTGAGTTTTGTGAGGGGTGGGTTCCTGTGTCACGCTTTTGACGTGCCATTTCTTGCCATATCTGCATGCTGTTTGTTTCTCTCACCCTAGCTTACACTCTTACACTCCCACTCCCTCCCAATCTCTCCTTGCCTTTCTAAACCGCACTTCAACCCTCTTAACCCCACCAATCACCTCTCGTCAGGTGACAGACGTGGCAGATGCCATGATCCTCAACCGCCTCTTCAAGCACCTGTTCGACAGAGGATTGGTGAGTTACAGTCCTTCGAACCACTAGTCCCCTCACATCTTCCCCTTATCGTTCCATTCACGTCCACGTCCTCTCCAGGTGCGCAGGTGCTCGTGGCAAGGCAACATCCAGCCTCCCCCCAGTGCGCGTTTACGAGAACTGCCTTCAAAGCGACTCTATTCTGAGACATCTCACAACTCCATCCATCCAATCATCAACATCCTTCCTCCCTAAACCCAGGTGCTCGTGGCAACGTCCAACCGGCCCCCAATACGACTCTACGAGAACGGCCTTCAACGGGACCTCTTCCTCCCCTTCATCGCCCTCCTCCAGGTGATGCCCCTCTCTCCACTTTCATGTGAACCCCTCTCTCCTCTCCCTTCAGAGGTCCCTTCACTCCCTTTCCCTCCGCTGCTGAGTGTTGTGGTGTGGTGTAGTCCACCAGAAACGCGGTGATTTCGAGGAAAAAAAAAAAATCAAAGAGTTATGAAAAGGAAACAGTACTCAGATTCAATACAAACAAAGGATATGCGGGCCCGACCCAAGCCATGCTATATTGAGAACTATCTCTCAAGAGCGCCTCACCTCACCTGAACTTTTGAGACGTCTCAAAACCCGACCCAAGCCATGCTATACTGAGAACTCTCTCTCAAGAGCGCCTCACCTCACCTGAACTTTTGAGACGTCTCAAAACCCGACCCAAGCCATGCTATACTGAGAACTCTCTCTCAAGAGCGCCTCACTTCACCTGAACTTTTGAGACGTCTCAAAACCCGACCCAAGCCATGCTATATTGAGAACTATCTCTCAAGAGCGCCTCACCTCACCTGAACTTTTGAGACGTCTCAAAACCCGACCCAAGCCATGCTATACTGAGAACTCTCTCTCAAGAGCGCCTCACCTCACCTGAACTTTTGAGACGTCTCAAAACCCGACCCAAGCCATGCTATACTGAGAACTCTCTCTCAAGAGCGCCTCACCTCACCTGAACTTTTGAGACGTCTCAAAACCCGACCCAAGCCATGCTATACTGAGAACTCTCTCTCAAGAGCGCCTCACCTCACCTGAACTTTTGAGACGTCTCAAAACCCGACCCAAGCCATGCTATACTGAGAACTCTCTCTCAAGAGCGCCTCACCTCACCTGAACTTTTGAGACGTCTCAAAACCCGACCCAAGCCATGCTATACTGAGAACTCTCTCTCAAGAGCGCCTCACCTCACCTGAACTTTTGAGACGTCTCAAAACCCGACCCAAGCCATGCTATACTGAGAACTCTCTCTCAAGAGCGCCTCACCTCACCTGAACTTTTGAGACGTCTCAAAACCCGACCCAAGCCATGCTATACTGAGAACTCTCTCTCAAGAGCGCCTCACTTCACCTGAACTTTTGAGACGTCTCAAAACCCGACCCAAGCCATGCTATATTGAGAACTATCTCTCAAGAGCGCCTCACCTCACCTGAACTTTTGAGACGTCTCAAAACCCGACCCAAGCCATGCTATACTGAGAACTCTCTCTCAAGAGCGCCTCACCTCACCTGAACTTTTGAGACGTCTCAAAACCCGACCCAAGCCATGCTATACTGAGAACTCTCTCTCAAGAGCGCCTCACCTCACCTGAACTTTTGAGACGTCTCAAAACCCGACCCAAGCCATGCTATACTGAGAACTCTCTCTCAAGAGCGCCTCACCTCACCTGAACTTTTGAGACGTCTCAAAACCCGACCCAAGCCATGCTATACTGAGAACTCTCTCTCAAGAGCGCCTCACCTCACCTGAACTTTTGAGACGTCTCAAAACCCGACCCAAGCCATGCTATATTGAGAACTCTCTCTCAAGAGCGCCTCACCTCACCTGAACTTTTGAGACGTCTCAAAACCCGACCCAAGCCATGCTATACTGAGAACTCTCTCTCAAGAGCGCCTCACCTCACCTGAACTTTTGAGACGTCTCAAAACCCGACCCAAGTCATGCTATACTGAGAACTCTCTCTCAAGAGCGCCTCACCTCACCTGAACTTTTGAGACGTCTCAAAACCCGACCCAAGCCATGCTATACTGAGAACTCTCTCTCAAGAGCGCCTCACCTCACCTGAACTTTTGAGACGTCTCAAAACCCGACCCAAGCCATGCTATATTGAGAACTCTCTCTCAAGAGCGCCTCACCTCACCTGAACTTTTGAGACGTCTCAAAACCCGACCCAAGCCATGCTATATTGAGAACTATCTCTCAAGAGCGCCTCACCTCACCTGAACTTTTGAGACGTCTCAAAACCCGACCCAAGCCATGCTATATTGAGAACTCTCTCTCAAGAGCGCCTCACCTCACCTGAACTTTTGAGACGTCTCAAAACCCGACCCAAGCCATGCTATACTGAGAACTCTCTCTCAAGAGCGCCTCACCTCACCTGAACTTTTGAGACTTCTCAAAACCTGACCCAAGCCATGCTATATTGAGAACTATCTCTCAAGAGCGCCTCACCTCACCTGAACTTTTGAGACGTCTCAAAACCCGACCCAAGCCATGCTATACTGAGAACTCTCTCTCAAGAGCGCCTCACCTCACCTGAACTTTTGAGACGTCTCAAAACCCGACCCAAGCCATGCTATATTGAGAACTCTCTCTCAAGAGCGCCTCACCTCACCTGAAATTTTGAGACGTCTCAGAACCCGACCCAAGCCATGCTATACTGAGAACTCTCTCTCAAGAGCGCCTCACCTCACCTGAACTTTTGAGACGTCTCAAAACCCGACCCAAGCCATGCTATACTGAGAACTCTCTCTCAAGAGCGCCTCACCTCACCTGAACGAATGCTCGCACCGTTCCATCCCATATCGTGTTTGTCCTTGTCACAGTCCCAGCGTGTGGTGCTGGAACTGAACACGTACTCTCGCCATTCCATTACCGTGTTTCCCCTGATTGCAGTCTCAGTGTGTGGTGCATGAGATCAAGTCAATGACTGACTACCGGAAGCTGGCGGCGGTGAGTGATGGTCTCTGGGTAGTGCCGCACACACACTCTTGCACATGTGTGCTTACTCACGCACTCAGGTGCTATGCATGACCCAGTGTGTGTGTGTGGTGGACGAGATCCAGTCAATGACACACTAACGGAAGCTGGCGGCGGTGAGTGACGGTTACTGGGTAGTGCTGCTCACACACACTCACGCACACCCACGCGCCCAGTTGTATGTATGGCTGCAGGATCAGTGTGTGTTATGCACGAGATCAAGTTAATGACAGATAGTTCACAGGAGGCTGGCAGGCAGTTGTGAGTGTGCACGTGAGTGTGCTTGTAGTGAATCTAACGGCGGTTCCTGCTGGTGACTAAGGGGTGGTAGTTCACAGGCCCGGGGGCAGCAGAGCTTCTGGGGAAGAAGGTAGAAGAATGAAACTCACGTTGATTCCCGCCCCCCCGCTCGCATTCCCACCCTCCGTTTTTCATGCGAGCAGGTGGAGCAGGAGTGGTACTTTACGGGGCCGGGGGCAGCAGAGCTGCTGGGGCAGAAGGTGGAGCCCGTGTGCTCCGATTCCTCCCCCCCCCCCCCCACCTCCCTCATCCCCACCCTCCTTCCCTCACCCCCACTATGTGCGAGCAGGTGGAGCAGGAGTGGTACTTCACAGGCCCGGGGGCAGCAGAGCTATTGAGGAAGAAGGTGGAGCCTGTGTGCTCCAATTCCTCATCCCCACCCTGCTTCCCTCACCCTCCCTATGTGCGAGCAGGTGGAGCAGGAGTGGTACTTTGCAGGCCTGGGGGCAGCAGAGCTTTTGAAGAAGGTGGAGCCCGTGTCCTCCAATTCCTCATCTCCACTATCCTCCCTCATCCCCACCCTGCTTCCCTCAACCCCACTACATGTGAGCAGGTGGAGGGGAGGTGGTACTTCACAGGCCCAGGGGCAGCAGCGCTGTTGCGGAAGAAGGTGGAACTGCTGGTGGAAGGGGCGGAGCTGCTGAGTCTGAGTGAAGGGGAGTGCGACTCATTACACTGCCCACCCTTCTTTCCCACTCTCCTCCATCCTCTACCCTTCCCCATCATGCGAGCAGGTGGAGCAGGGGTGGTACTTCACAGGCCCGGGGGCAGCAGCGCTGCTGGCGAAGAAGGTGGAGCTGCTGGTGGGAGGGGCGGAGCTGGGTCCTGTGGACGTGGAGGTGCTCATGGGGCGGAAAATCAGGGTGAGTGGCTTCCTCTCATTCTTTTGCTCTCCCTCCGTAGCTCACTCCTTCGCTTCCCTATCTCTTCACATGGGAGGGGCGGAGCTGCGCCCTGTGGACGTTGAAGTGCTGATGGGGCGGAAACTCAGGGTGAGTGGTTTTCGTCCCTCATTTGAGCTGCCACCTCATCATGTGAGGGACAGAGCTGCGCCTTGTGGACGTGGAAGTGCTTATGGGACGGAAACTTCGAGTGAGTGACTCTTATTGCCCTCTGGCTCCTTCACTCTCACTCCTTTTCCCACACCTTTAACCTCACTCCTCCGCTCACTCGTTTGCTGCTCGCTCATCATGGGAGGGGCGGACCTGGGCCCTGTGCACGTGGAGGTGCTCCTGCGGAGGAAATTCAGAGTGAGTGGCTCCTATTGTTCCACTTCTTGCTTTTCTTCCCTCTCTCTCCTTTACTCTCGATCCTTGGCCCATGTTCCTTCTGTACCATTGTTAGCAGTGTTTTGAGAGGAAGTGCTTTTAGAAGGCAGCGCTGTTAGAGGCCTCTTCGCGCTGTTGGCTGTATTCTCCATTGATTCCGCTGTCCCTAAACCCTTAACCCCTGCTCTGCATCCCCACCATCAGGTGTAGCAGTGAACGTTAAAGTCGACTCAAAAACCATCAGGTGCAGAAGTGAACTTTTTTGAGCTTTGTGAGGTGCTTCTTGTTGCTGCTGACTGCTAGCTCACTTGATTACACTCTCTTCCTCCCCTCCTCTGTTTTCTCACTCCTCTCTTACAATCCACCATCAGGTGCAACGAGCAGCCAAAGGAGTGGCAGCAGTGCACTTCTTTGAGCTTTGTGAGGTGCCTCTCGGTGCTGCTGACTACTTCGCCCTCTGCAGTAAGCCAATTTCCTTTCTCTTCAGGGAAAATCTCTCAAGGATCTCTCGCGTCGAATGTACTTGTTGTCACAACGTAGGCTTAGACTTGATGCATTAGTAGTGAGCTTGAAGCTCTTTAAGTACATCCAAGATGGGCAAGGAGTGGATGGAGAAGAGAATCGTGGGCAATCTCTAGGGATTGGGGGTAATCCCAAGGCAATCTCCAATTGGTGGGTTGGAGATTGCTTGGAGATTACATTTGGGTTTGGTTGGGATGTAGGTGTACACCCAACCAAACACAAAGTGCAAACTACACTACTCTAGGATATAGAAAGTATAAAGTACAAAATGTGAGATTGAGGGCTAGCACTTGTGTCTCATGGCTTGTGTCTCAATGTCCCTTTTCCATTTTGTTTCATTCCTTTGTTTGCAGCTTCCGCAGATCCAATGTCTCTCATTTCTTCTCTTGTTCCAATCTATCCCTTCTTTCTCAGAGAACTTTCACACTATAGCCATGGAGGGCATTCCTGTATTTGGGGCATCTAACAGAGGGGCGGCGTATCGATTCGTCACTTTAATTGATGTGAGTGAGTGAGTGAGTGAGTGAGTAATAGTGGTGCTGGCTACTTTCTATGAGCCTGCTCTCGTTCGTCTTTGCACCTGATGTGTGAGTTCATGGATGTATGGACTTATGTTTTGACACATATGTGAAAGTAGCGTAGCAGAATACTGAGAGTCACTGGGGGATGGAAGATTGGAAACTTTTATTGGCGAGATGACATATATCGCTTCAAGGGATGCCAAAGTAAGGAATACTGCCACACCAATCGTCACACTTAGCAAAGTGTCATTCTTCACTTAGCATACCGCCTTATACTAGGTAACAGGTCACACAAAAAACGCACAAGGCCCAACAGACCAGACTCCCACCAGCCAAACCAAGGTGTTAGCACGAAGGCCAGGCTCCTGCCCGCACCCCTTGCCTGCAAGGTCTGTTTACAGTGAGGCTTCACCCCTGTTTCTCCACATAATCCGCGCGTAATGAGTCTATTTTTGAGCCGACTCAAAAAGACCCCTAGCCCGAGACGCACAATAACAGGGGTATACAGTGAGCGATTTTCTAAAATTCTCAAAAATCGCTCACAGTAACAGGGGTGTACAGGGTCGACTCAAAAATAGACTCCTATGCAAGGTCTGTAAGCAGTGAGGCTTTACCCCTGCCTGGTACCCTTTCCTTCCCCCCTTCCAATGCACGAGGTCACCACCCGACTTGATTCGTGCTCAAACCACTCGTGCTGTGACTCTGGGCCTTGACTTAGGCCTTGGCTTATTTCTAACCTCCCACCCAGCCCCCTCTCCTGCCCCAATTCCCTGGTCTGCCTGCAGAAGGCACTGCCTTTGAGCTTTTGAGAATCCTCTAAGTCCTTTCATTTGCCTATTCTTACCGCCCACCCACCAACCCCCCTCACCCCCCTCCCCTTCCTTTCCCCCCACCCCAGCTGATGTACGAGCAGGCACAAGACCCGCCCCGTCTGTTCAGCAGGGAGCACTCCTTTTGACCTTTCGGGACAATTTGTTATTTGAGAATTCTCAGAACGAACTTCTGAGATTTCTCACAAGTCAATCCACCCACCCCACCCAACCCTTCCTTTCCCTCCTCCCCAGGTGATGTACGAGCACAAGACCCGCCTCGTCTGCTCGGCAGAGGGCACTCCCTTTGAGCTCTTTGAGCGCGTGGTTACCATCGCAAACGCGCCACGTAGGACGGCCGCCAGGTCAGCAAGATCCGAGGATGCTGATGTGGCGGTGGACGACGAGCTGGGATTCGCTAAGGACCGCACAGTCAGCAGGTAAGGCAGGGATAAAGGACACCCTTTGTAAGCAAATACAGTGTACCCTGTGTCATCAATCGTTAATAAGTGACTTGTATGGCTGTACAGCCTTTCTTAAATTCTATGCCAATCATGCCTGACTATTTCAGTTCATTGTCTTGCATGCACCGTGCCTTTCAAGGTATATCATTTGACGTTTCAGTTCTTTCCAAAAAACGTTATATTCATATTGTTGTTGGTTCTGGTGTGCGCTGCACTTGTCCCCCTGGTCTTGCATCATGATTTACAAACTCCCGATATTAATGCTTCCATCCATTCCTTCTTTGACCGGATTTTCTGCCACAGAATGATGGAGATGCAGAGTACGGAGTATGAGCATGACAATGCAGTGGCATACAAGCACATGTTAGAGCAACCGTAGCCACAAGACAATGCAATATGCCGCAAGAACGAGTGTTCATTTGTTTTTATTGTATGAAATGTAAGGATGGTCGGATGTATCTTAAAATGAGCATTCTAGAGAATAAAAAAGGTTGGACCCATATCAAAAGAATTTGGAATCATGTATGATTTTAATATACTTATGGTGATAGAAAGTGTATGGACATGGCTGATGGTTTATGCTGGATTTGTTGTGTGGAATGTGATCTGATTCTTTGTGCTCTCTACCTCTTATTAAAGCCAGCAGCTAAAATAGTGACCCCCCCCTTCTAGTTGGGTCCACTTGAAAACATAAGTTTTTTTGGAACTCTTCGGAAAGTTGGAAGTGCTGTGCACATTTATTTTTTCACCCCAGACGAGTTTCTTTGTGAACTAGAAACACTTGGAACATGTGTACGATTCTGATTGGCAGCGAAACTAACACACAACCCACACATACTACTTGTGTGCGAATTTGGCGCAATATTGCCATGACTGTATGCACCCAAGTAGTCATCGTAAGTTCACCAGAACGCACATCATGCAACAAAACAGGTAAAATCCAGCACACACGCATATAAGCGTTTCCTTGGACTTGATGATAAGAGAGGGGAAAAAATAGGGAGTAACGGGGAAAAAACAAAAAGCTGTCATAAGGTGATATGACAGGATGGGAGGGGAGAGTAGAGGAACAACGGGATGGGAGGGGAGAGTGGAATAGCGACGGGATAGGAGAGGAGAGAGGAGGGACGGCGTGTTGGGAGGGGAGAGAGCAGATTCGACGTGATGGGAGGGGAGAATGGAGGAACAACGGGATGGGATGTGAGTGGAATAGCGACGGGATAGGAGGGGAGAGAGGAGGAACGACGTGATGGGAGGGGAGAGGAGGCGAACTACGGGGGAGAGAGAAATAATGACTGTATGGCGAGGCGACTAGAAGCACGGAGAGCTATCGAAATAACGGGCAGCGCGGGGACATAGCGCAGCGACGTGCAGCGAGGGGACATAGTGTCAGAGGTCCACTGGGGATCCCCGATGATCCTAGGGAAGGGTTACAGGCACGTCGGCCTGGGGGGTTATGGGCGCACTCACCCGCTATATAAACAAGCCCTTTTATCCCAGTGGTTAGTGACTGGGATTTTGACATGGTATCAGAGCGAAGGTCTCGGGTTCGATTCCCGGTGTGTGCACTTCGGGCATCCCAGTGCGGGGGGGTGTCAGAGGTCCACTGGGGATCCCCGATGATCCTAGGGAAGGGTTACAGGCACGTCGGCCTGGGGGGTTATGGGCGCACTCACCCGCTATATAAACAAGCCCTTTTATGTCAAACATTATACATGTTGTATTTGTGTAGGCTGTAGTGGGTTAGCCTATAGGGGGTCACCTCATTAGGGTTTCATATTTGTACTCACAATTCTTGCTTTCTAGTTCACCCATTCCAGTCTCTTCTTCTGACATGGTTTCAGAGCAGGTCCTTCGCTAGGACCGTTCTTAGGGCCCACCACTGAATACCTACCTACCTATCTACTGTCGGAGTGCTGCGTTAGCGCCTCCCCCTCTCAGCGCCCTAGTGCGCCCTCGTGTACGGCCCCTTAAGGCTTCGTTGACCCCGCGCGCCGCCCCTTAGTGACCCGCGCGTCGCTCCTTAGAGGCCCCGTCGACCCGCGCGCGCCCCGCTTAAGGCCCCGTTTGGCCCCGTCGACCCGCCCGCGGCCCGCTTAGTGGCCCCGTTTAGCCCCGTCGACCCGCGCGCGCCCCGCTTACGGCCCCGTTTGGCCCTCTCGACCCGCCTGCGCCCCGCTTAGAGGCCCCGTTTGGCCCCGTCGACCTGCGCGCGCCCCGCTTACGGCCCCGTTTGGCCCCGTCGACCCGCGCGCGCCCCGCTTACGGCCCCGTTTGGCCCCGTCGACCCCTTCGCGCCCCGCTTATTGGCCCCGTTTGGCCCCGTCGACCCGCGCGCGCCCCGCTTACGGCCCCGCTTGGCCCCGTCGACCCCACGCGCGCCCCGCTTAGAGGCCCCGCTGGCCCCGTCGACCCCGCGCGCGCCCCGCTTAGAGGCCCCGTCGACCCTATCCGCCGCCCCAAAGCGGCTCCGTCGACCCTACCCGCCGCCCCTACCCGCACCGCACGCGACAGCCGCGGCCCCGCCAGCAACAGGCCGCCCGAACCGAGCCGCCCGTACCGAGCCGCCCAGTCCGAGCCGAGCCGAGCAGCCAGAACCGAGCCGCGCCGCCCGCACTGAGCAACTTCTCTGGACCGAGCCGCCCTACCTGCGTCGCGCTGCCCACTGCTTTTAGGACTCACTTACTGCTACTGCTACGGCTACTCCTACTGCTACTATGGCTACCCCGCCTGTACTAGCTTTCGATGCTGAGGGCCGCCCGGTGAAGTTTGACACCTGGCTTGATGACCTGCACCTCTTCCTACAGCTCACTGCCAAGGAGGATATCTCACTGTATGACCACGCCCTCGGCCATGCTCCTGCCCCTGCTACTGATGCTGACAGCACTACCCGCTCACAGTGGCAGACTCGTGACGCCCACGCTCGCTTTGCCATCCGCAACTCCCTGCCGTTAGATGAGCGCGAGCACTTCGGCCAGTGCAAGACTGCTAGGGACCTCTACACCGCTGTAGTTGCCCGTTACTCCTCACCCGCTTCTGCTACGCTAGGCCGCCTCACTCTTCCCTACCTGTTCCCCGACCTAGCCTCCTTTCACACTGTCGCAGACCTCATCACCCACCTTAAGACTAGTGAGGCCCGCTTTCGCGCTGCTATGCCTGCCGAGTTTCTCACTAGCAACCCCCCCCCGCTCTGGATCACTCTCTACCACATCGTCACCCGCCTCCCTGACTCTCTGCGCGCAGTCAGGGACCACTTCCTCTCTCGCTCCCCCACTGAGCTCACCGTTGACCTCCTCGAGAAGGAACTGCTTGCAGCTGAGGCGAGCATCGTCGCTGTAGGCACCTCTCGTGGCGACCCCCGCACCCCGTTCTTTGAGGGGTGTTCCCCTTCCCCCCTCCTCCCCTCTGTCGCCTCTGCTGCTGCTGTCGACCTCCTTGGTGCTGAGAAGGTCGGGACCGCGTCTGCTTCGAGCGGGCGCCGCAGGGGCAAAGGGGGCAGGGGCGGGGGTGGCGGCGGAGGAGGTGGGGGTGGAGGCGGTGGGAGTGGAGGCGCGGCTGAGGAGGCTAGTGGCGGCAGTGGGGGAGGCGACAGCAGCGGCGGGAGTGGTGGCAGGGGCGGAGGCGGCAGCGGAGGCGGAGGTGGTCGTGGTGGCGGCAGGGGTGGAGGTGGCCGGGGCGGAGGCGGAGGGGGTGGTGGTCGTGGAGGCACTGGCGGAGGGCAGAGTCAGCAGCCCACCCCGACGCTTCAGGCCGCCCGTGAGTGGTATGCGCAGCGTGGCTTTACCTGCACGTACGTCATTCGCACAGGTGACCGCAGCGGCCAGCAGTGTGGGAGGCCGCACCCCACGCAGCGCTGCTTCGCGCGCCTTACCGACGCGTGGCGCACCCAGTTTCCTACTGCCACTGAGCTGCCGCGCTGGGCTGAGCTGGAAAAGAGGGGTGTTGATATTTGGGCTTTAGACTTTGATGCTATTCTCACTGCCATGTATGCTATGTCTATTAGTGGAGAGGGTGCTCAGTACTTGCGTGTTCCGCCCGACCCGGGCATTCAGGCCAGTCCGGCTGCCGCTCTAGGTGCTAGTGCGTCCGCTCCCACAGGTCCTGGTGAGGCTGCTGCCCTAGGTGCTAGTGCGTCTGTGCCCCCTGGTACTGAGTCCACTGTTGCACTGCACACCTTCACACTAGACTCAGGTGCTTCTCGCTCTTTCTTTCGTGACCGCACTGTCCTCGAGCCCCTCGCTCGGCCAGTTGCTGTCTCCCTTGCTGACCCCTCTGGGGGTCCGGTCATTGCGACCTCCTCCACTGTCCTTCCTTGTCCGGCGGTCCCGTCCGGCACGCTGTCAGGTCTCTACCTCCCCTCGTTCTCTACGAACTTGGTGGCGGGTTGTGCGCTCCAGGACTCGGGTGTTCACCAGTTCACCCCTGCCTACGAGCGCGTGACACACTGCACGTGTGCTCGGACGGGTCGCCACCTGGCTACTTTCACTCGAGAGCCGGGGTCGGACCTGTACACACTGACCACTGAGTCCCCTCCGGTAGCTGCGTCTGCGTCTGCGTCAGGTCAGCTGTCCGCCCCCTGCTCGTGTCGCTCTCTGGCGCATGAGACTGTCCTCTGGCACCACCGCCTTGGTCACCCGTCTGTGCAGCGCTTTCGGGCCATGCACAAACGGGACCTTGTTGCTGGTCTTCCCAGGGTGCTCCCTCCCCTTCCCGACTCGCCTGCTCCTCCCTGTATTCCCTGTGTCGAGGGGCGGCAGCGCGCCGCTCCTCACTCCTCCTCCTTTCCCCCGACGACTGCTCCCCTGCAGACGCTCCACTTGGACGTGTGGGGCCCAGCCCGCGTCCGTGGATAGGGTCAGGAGCGGTATTTCCTGCTCGTTGTTGACGACTTCTCGCGCTACACCACGGTCTTCCCCTTGCGAGCCAAGGGTGACGTACCTGATGTCTTGATCCCTTGGATCCGCAGATCTCGTCTCCAGCTCACCAGGCGTTTCCGCTCCGACTTTCCTGTCCTGCGTCTGCACTCTGACAGAGGTGGGGAGTTTTCCTCTGGCCTCTTGGAGGCCTTCTGTCAGCAGGAGGGCATTGAGCAGTCGTTCACGCTTCCGGACTCTCCACAGCAGAATAGGGTTGCTGAGCGCCGCATTGGTCTAGTCATGGAGGTCGCTCGTACCTCCCTGAGTCATGTGGCTGCCCCCCATTTCCTGTGGCCGTTTGCGGTCCGATACGCTGCGCATCAGCTCAACCTCTGGCCCCGTATCTCCTTGCCGGAGACTTCTCCGACACTGCGTTGGACGGGAGAGGCTGGCGATGCGTCGCGTTTTCGGGTCTGGGGATCCCGAGCTTTTGTCCGCGACACGTCCGCGGACAAGCTCTCCC